TGCGGCGTATTTACGCCGGCGAGCTGGGCGCGCTGTGGGGCCTTCACAAGTATGGCTTGTCCAACCCGGGCACCACATAGTGAGATACTGTTTTCTGTTTGGTTTCCTAAAGACGAGATTAATGATTTAATCACTGAGATGATCTTGCTTTGTGTCAGTTCCTGATATTTTTAAAGCTGGTTTCAGCCAATTTTGTTAAACGGCTAGAGAAATACTAAGTTCTTGAAGGTTTTGTGAAAACTCATCATCTGGCTAGCCAAAAGACCCACTAAGTGTTATATGCGCTACTTGTCATTCCACCAAATGGAGAAAGCGTGGGAGGGAGTGGTGGTAACGTCTACACTCACTGAGGTATACTTCTCCACAATCTTCTTCTAAATCCATAAAACCAGCCTCTGAGTGGCACTGCAATCTTCCAGCGGCGAGGTGCCTGTGTCTCTAAGTAGGTGTGGACAGGAGTTGTGTTTCCCAGTTCCAGTGAGCTGCTTAGAACCCAGCAGTGAAGTGAATCTTACCAACTACCTAAACTGAGGTTTTCCCCTTCTGTTTAAAAGCTGTTGAGCACTTCCTGAGCATGCACAAAAGGCCTCTTCTTGTCACTGAAGTATCTTATCAGACCTGAGAATATTTCTGGCAGGTTAGGACTGAAAGACCCTATTTAGGCTTTTGATGGCATTGACTTCAGTTCTAGAAAGTATTGCACGGCAGCAATGATCTCTTCATTCACTCTTACTTCCTATTTTCAAAGTATAATTCAACAGCTGGCAACTGACATCCTCAGATGAGGGCTTTTTTTTTCTTTTCCCTGGAAATGTCAAATTAACGTTAGTTTCTAACAAATTTACCACTACATGCAAGGGAGAGTGAAGTTAATAATCTGACCCAGTTCAATATTCGGTCTCACTCTGCAAGGAGTGCAGTAGAAACAGTTCTGGCTCCTCATCCCATTCAGTAGTCATTGATTTCCTGGGACACTAATAAGCAGTCAAAATCTGAATCTGTAATAAATGTCTTGTTTTGTTCCACTCTGGGTGTGTCCTTAGTTTTCCTGAGTGAATTCCAACACTACCCTGTAAGGGTATAATTCCCTGTTGTGCTTTCTTCAGCAAGAAAACTAGTTCCTGCCCTTCCTGGCTTGTGGCCTCTTGTTCGTGTTCCCAGCATCAATTAACTGCTCCAGGAGTTTTGTCGGTGCCAGTATTTGTGGCAGCATACCACAAAACAGGTCACCGAAACTATCAGGACTTCTAAAAACAAGTGATTTGGCTTCAGGCACAATTAAAATGTGCAACAGAAGAAAATAAAATAAACAAAAGTAGTTAAATATGACCTTAGTAGAGCCAAGAAAGGTTAGTTTAACATACGCGCTTTAGTTTGGGATGTATGTTGCATAGGAAGCTTGCAGATCCACCTATTCTTTTCTTCCTTTTCCTCATATAGAATAAGGGGTTGCTGTGTACGCAATATTTTAGTGATATAGGAAATCCTAACACAAGCTGATAGAGTATCTCGAGGGAGCATTGTGAGTAGAAGCTGAAATATCTCTAAAGTGCTTTGTGAGTGATTAGTGTGATATTGCTCCTGCCCTGCTGTCTTGAGTGATCTGGAGCACTTTCAATGCTAGGATTTCTGCGTGCCCTCGCTGAATTCCCACCAAAGTTGCAGGGTGTGATTTCTTTGGCTTTTTGTCCTCTTCATTTCTCTACGATTTTTTTCCTGCAACCCACCAGAGGTCAGTGTAATGCCAAGAATACCGAGGAAGACAGGACAATAATGCCAAATTTCTGCTAGTTGCTAGGATCATAAGAATTACTTGAGTGCAGCAGTGATAAGTCTAGCAGCGTTCTTTGTCTTTTGTCAGTACCACTTGAATTAGGGGAAGCTTATCAAGCTGGCAATAGGTGAGTGTGAAGTCACCTGTAGATGGTGAGGCTGTTAGAGGTTGACTAAATTCCAGAAGCATGAAGCTTGCTATATCTTTCAAAGGGTGTTAACATCAATTAGCAGCATTCCAGATACTCTGGAGAGCCAAAGAAATGGCCAAGTCTGGCTAAACTCTTGTCTCAGTGGCTCCTTGTGCTAACAGAGGTCACAGCATATTTGCAGTTTGAATGAGAAAATTGATTCTCAGTTTCTCACCTTTTATTCAGTTCTATGTTCTTGTATTACGAGGCAGAATGAACAAGTTCCCAGGATTTGTGCCTTCATTATTTTACATGTTATTACCAGTTTTCCATGAAGAGAGGCACTCCTGTCTTTCAGGGTCTCTTTTTCATTATTCTTATTATGTTTTCCTGAGCTTGTGAGAAAATAATCCCACCTGTTTTGAGGTAGAATGCCTGGTAATGGCATACAAAATTCCGGCTGAGCCTGCACTACTGGCTTCTGCAGAAGCACTGTATTATTTTTATTATTGTCCCATCTCCCAGTCATTAATGGACTTCAATGTTTCCCTTCCTTTTCCTAGCAGCACCTGTTCACTGAGTAAAGGTCTTCACTGGGCTACAGTGACATGTCAGTTCCCTTCAGAACCGATAATATTAATTTGAAACATTTTAGGACTCCTAGCTGTAAAGTTTTTTCTCCAATGTACTTTATTTGTTGTTACTGAATTTGTTTGCCATTGTATTTGCCTATTCAGCTGACTTGTGCGGGCTCTTCTGAAGTTCCTCTCAGCTTCTATTGGTAGCCTGAATAACTAACTATGTTAATTATAGAACCCAGTAAAATACTGGTGCTTTAAGAATTCTGTTAAATGTGTGATACTTTTTTCTTTCAGAAATTTCTGTAGCCACTCTATCACAAGTCTTCATCTGGTGGATTGCATTTGGAGCTTGTTTCCTCAGGGTGAAGGGTTTTTCTTCCTTTTCTATGATTTCTTTCACTATGAACAGGGCAATAGACTAGGTTATTCTGGAGGAAAAAAAAGATTCTGAGCAAGTGTCTTTCCCCCCCCGTGATGTGAATCCACCAATTGACCTTTCTTTTGTGGTACTTCTAGGACTGAAAGTATGGTAGAAACAAGTACAAGAAGTACCTAACCCAGGTTCAGGCAAATCAGTTAGTAAACTGGATTTTCAGACACTCTGGGCATCCCTGAAAGAGGACTCATTTACTAATGTGTGAATCTGGGTGCCAGTGCCGAATCACAAACTGTTCCCTTAAACGTACTTTTAAGCTAACATGTTTCCACAGATAGATATAAATAATTTTTACACTTATTGAAAAAGCCACAGAAAGTCAGTATGGGAATTGCTTGGTGCAGAGATCTCCACAGCAGCGTATACCTATTTACTCTTGAGTTAAGAAGCAAACTCGAAA